TTCGAATAAAATAGATTATCAATAAGGTCACCATTGTCGGCTGTATTTCTTGTTGCCGTAATGTCCGGGTGTTCAAAATTATCTGGATCCTTCAAATAAGAATAAATATTTTAAATTCTGTATCCATTTGGAATTGTTCTGTAATAATTTCTCGTGAATCGAGTACTTTCGCCGTATAATGCATTTTACAGTATTTCCTTCCTCATTCAACTTTCTTCTTGAAAGGGCATCGGCCACCATGTTTTCCTTTCCCGGATTATGTTTGATAATTAAGTTGAATTCTTGAAGTTTAAGGGCTCATCTAATCAACCTTAGCAATAATTTCTTCCTGAACACAACCGCCCTACGGCCGCATTATCAGAATAAACTGTAATCGATGCACTTCCAAAATGTACTCTGAAATTTTTGTACTGCGAGCGTTTCTCGCTCAGTGGCACTCTTAATTTCTCTGCGGAATTAAGGGTTCTACTAAAATATTCAACTAGTTGACCATTCTGCATAAGAACAGCACCCACTGCGTAGTTAGAGGCACCTGCCGAAATTTCTAGATTTTCGTCGTTTTCAGGTAATTTTAAGAAAAAAAAAATTATCGCATTAAAGCTTGGTTTAGTTTTTCAAACGCCGTATTGGTCTCGGCTAGCAAAGTAAAGCGAGTGGTTTTTCTCTTTAACCATAATGATGTTTCCGCTATTTGAGCGGTCTTAAAGAAAGTTCTATAATATAAACACATGCATAGTAATCATAGTTTCTTTGCAGTATTTGGCGGAGAGTAGTTTTTAATAGCTATTATTTTAGAATTTTCGGTTTCAATTCCTTTGCTGACTATTTTATTGTCTAAGTAACGAAGTTCTGAAGCAGCGAACTTACTTTTGGCGGCGTTTATTTTTAGTCCAGCTTCATTTGGAAGCGAAAGTACATCTAAAAATGGTCTTATCGTCGATTGTTTCACTCGTGACTACGATCGTTTAATAGATAAACGTATGTTTGCCAAGAACTAGTCGTAATATTGTATCAATGGCACGTTGGAAAGTGGCAGATGCTCCGTTAAAGCTGAACGACATTCTCAGAAAAGCGTACTCGCTGGAGTTCGTAGTAAGTGCAGTTTTAGGAACATCATCAGGCTTCACGCGAATTCGGAAATAGCCGAATGTTAGATCCAGCCTTGTTTATAGATTTTAGAGATTTAATTTTTCGAATGAGTTCATCTCTTATGGGGAAGGGATAGACAGGATACTCAGTTATGCTGTTAAGTTTCTTAATAATCAACAGCGAACATGCTTTGAGGTTGGTAAGTAGGAGATTAGTTTTCTTTTTACAGAACATCATCGGGCTAGCATAAAAACTCGTTGTTAGGAGTTATAATTTTATAACTTTAACATTTCTTCTATATGATCCTCAATTAGTTTCTCTTTAATTTTATCATAACGATAAGATTTAGACCTCACTGGAGCCGCGGTGCCGATGTCTATCGTAGGAATCACAATAAGAGTGTAGCCTGGTTATTCTTTGAATGAATTTGAAAAGTCACTTACCAGTTCTTTTAACTTTTCTTTTTCCTCCGGGCCCAAGTGCTGTAAATAACGCTCGGTGGCTGCGTTCGTCTTTCTTCCAACTTGTTGATCTGTAGCTGTAAATTAGAATCTTGAAAATTAAAATGAGCTCTTGCCGTTTTAAAAAAAATCTACCTGTAAAACTACCGCAGGTTGAAGATTTCTCACAACAAAGAAAATAACTTTTGATTGTCCATTCTTCACTTGGACATCTTATCGAAGCGTATCTGTTCTCGTTGGTTGGCAACAACTTTTGCCTCTCTTAAATTATCTCTTAAATATTTTCTAAAATGCTTCCGAAAAAACGATTCTGAGATAAAACTACATTGGGTCCGGTTATTGATCAGTGTTTCTGTAGGGACGTTATTTAGTAACACCTGCACAACTGGCAACTCCAAATTTTACCTTATAACGGTGTTTAACTGAACATTTTGGGGATTTTCTTCATTCTGGGGTCATTGTACCATCTTGCCTTTAGTACCCTGGTTTAAATTGTACCAGTTTTTTCTTTTGCCCTTCTTTTTGGCGACCGCTACTCACGTTTGAATCTTTTCCTCTTTTATCCAATTGTCTCTTCTGGCCAAATTGTGGACTTCTCTGAGGCGTCGGCCTAAAACTTTGCCTATTTGGCCTTTCGCCATACCCATACCCTTTCATGCATCCTTTTTCTGCTACGCATCGATTTTGGAACTTAGTTGCTAGAATATGCTCTCGGGTGAATTTCCGAATTTCTGTGACACTCAGGATTTTATTGAAAACAATAAATTTTCTCTTTTAAGTAAACCAATTGCCTCTGAAATGGAAGTACGTTCGAGCAATCTACTAGCTTTTCAGCAATCTACAGGGAATCCTTAGAGAAGTTTAAGAAAAAAGAATCAGCATAATATTCATAAATTTTCAGAATTGGTTTCAGAGATTTAAATATAGAACTTTCTTCTTCAGCTGCAGATATGCAAGGAATTGGAGTCTTTAACTAGAACGGAAATACTTTTATGAATGTGAAACGCTTCTAGAATATCTAATTCGCTAGTGGAAGTTGCTTTTAATTACTTTTGCGGCCATACTTAAAGACCCCATTCCGGATATAACCTTCTGGAGTATATACAGGATTCCTTGCCAGTGTAGTGTAATTTATATTAATCAAACTAAGAGAGCCTTAAAGTGTTGTGCTATGAGGCATATGTAAGGAAAAAAGAAACACATAAATCCGACTATTGCTCGACCTTATTGATCAGAAAACCACATTTTCCATTTTTTTTTTCCTGCTGCCAAAATTATTCAAAAAGCATTTTAGTTGACGAATGGAATTTTCTAGAGGCGTTTTACATTCGTAAAAATCCTTCAGTTTTAATAAACGATCCTAATTCCAATCCTCATTTATCGTTTCGCCCCTTGTGCCAAAAATATTAGTTTCTGAAACGTTCTTAAACACTGACACGAATGCGTGGTGGGCGAGGTGAACGGGGAAACGCTCTGTCAGATCCGTGTGCCCAATGGGAGGCAGCGCGCTTCATGCTGGTAGGTCTGCGTGACAGTCGATGCCAAAGGGCTAAACTATAGTCCCGTTCACGTTTAGTATTTATTCCCGGTATGTTGACAGCCATTTATCAGATGTCTAATATATTTGAGCATGTTGCTTTCTCTTATCTTCAGGGCTTATCTGGAATCAGTTATCAATATGCGTTATGATGATCGCTGTTTTCCACATTTTTCTAAGCTCGAACGCTATTAGTCTATGACTGTCCAATGGTCTGCATATCACAGAATGTCCGCAATAGGAGCAGATAAATTTCAGCAATATTGAAACCATATAGAATGGTGTGGTGTATTTAATTATGGCAAAGCACACGAGGGCTATCTGCCTAAGGGAAGGGATGCCTTCGTGGAAGACTTTCTAAGGGAAACTGGCTCGTATACACGTTACACATGGGGAAAACCGTGAAAACGCCCATGCAGCCAGCCCGTTCGCGGGATTCGAACCTCGGACCGAACTACCAGTGTTCAGCGACTTTACCGCTCGGCCGCTGGTGGGCCCCATATAGAATGACATTATATGGGTGAAGTGATGGAACCTGCTTTTTCTGTTATCTTCTGAGTCAGCTTTGGGTAACGTAGAACTCAAGCAGCATGCAACGTTCAATGGTTCCTGGAATAGTTACCATTTTGCATAATTTCTTTAAACCCTGCTCTCACCGGAATTTGTACCTAATGATGAAGTCTGGTGCATAATTCTGCAACGCTTGAGATATCACAGATCGCCAAGGCTATAGCAAGCACCTTTGCGACATACTGAAACCGCAGGTACTGGCATATACGATATCTCTTCCTCTCCATATAGGGTTCAAATCCAGCGAGAGGGCATGGACGTTTACGTAATTTTCCGCGTCTTAACGTGCATACAGACAGTTCCTTTAGAACGTCTTCAACGAAGGCATTCCCTCCCCTTAGACAGATAGCCCTGGCATACTTTGTCATGATCAAATAAACCAAACCAAAACAACCAAAATAAAAATAACTTTAATATAAATACATCAAATAAAAAAATCAAAACATTCCTGTGTATGCCGGGTCATGTAGCAACAAATATTGTTGTCTATAATGAATGAAACAAATACTGATTTTTTTGCATTTCGCAAGCCGAACTAAGTTGTAATTACAGTCATTTCATTCTTATACTATAAATTACCTATAAAATAAATATGGCTTTCATAATTAGCGTCTTTCAGAGTTTTGCACTTTTAATCGCCAGCAGTGTAAGTGACGTTATAAACATCTTTTGTTAATTAAACAAATATGCTATAAAAACTCAATTATAAATTTTTGAGTTTGATCAGTGCACTGCTATAAGTTGAAAAAAAATTGTTTTTTAATCTTATGGGAGGTAGAATTAGAATGGCTAACGAAATTGGCAATTTACCCAAGCCACCATTAGAGGTGGTTAATTATAATGTACAGCGAAACAAGTTGATACTCACTTGTTTTGCTTGACGATCCTATCAGACCCATCCCTGTCAGATTCAACGTCCATTAATTTAACCACCTCTAATGGTGGCTTGGGTAAATTGCCAATTTCGTTAGCCATTCTAATTCTACCTCCCATAAGATTAAAAAACAATTTTTTTTCAACTTATAGCAGTGCACTGATCAAACTCAAAAATTTATAATTGAGTTTTATAGCATATTTGTTTAATTAACAAAAGATGTTTATATCTTTATCATCTTTCGTAATTGACATTTTATACTCTTATTGCGGACATTCTGTGATATGCAGACCACTGGACAGTCATAGACCAATAGCGTTCGAGCTTAGAAAAATGTGGAAAACAGCGATCATCATAACGCATATTGATAACTGATTCCAGATAAGCCCTGAAGATAAGAGAAAGCAACATGCTCAAATATATTAGACATCTGATAAATGGCTGTCAACATACCGGGAATAAATAACATATCTAAATCATCTTTCGTAATTGACATTTATACCTGTCATTTGAGAAAAAGTTACTATTTTGAGGATGATATATCGTCACATTTTGAATTCATGGCACAATACGCTGCCATTTCGTTGATATATACGAAAAGAAATCATACAATCGTTCCGAAATGCACTTTGTTTTTTCAAATTGAATTGGCGTAATATTTTCAAATAACACATAGAATTTCCTTTCTCAAACAATGGTAAAACTCGATAGTTTATTTCCTTTAATACTAAAATCATTGTTGTTGTATATTCTAACAGGTGATGGGTGTTTTTCAGGTTGTGATAATAGTGATATTCAACAGAATCTTCGTGACTTTGAATGTGTGGAAGTGTGGAGTGTGAAGTTAAGTCTTGCTCTCTTCGTCATCCTTGTAAAATTAACATCAGGTGGGCTCCTGTTTTCTCATATATGCGGAAGATTCTCCTTTTTACCATGTTTCCTTCCCTTTTCAATTTAATACAGAAATATTCTTCTTCATTTCAGTTCTCTTATCCTCATTCGCTTTGCATGTTAAAACGGTCTGCATGGATCAATGCAAGCGCATGATACTGAAATAAGTAAATGGAAGGCATGCTCGCGAATTTTCCTTTTATAATTTTAATGACTAATTCCTTTTCTTTTGTTTTTTAGAACTTTCTGAAGCCCAAGGAAGCTGTGATATTTCCTCGAAGCTATGCTTATGGAAATCCATCTTACGTCATGGATTACAGTTTTCCACCCAAACATTATTACCAGAGCTACGATATTTATGGATAACACTAAAGTAGCTATCAATTAACCGTCCCAAGAAACGCATTTTATTTGATCTCATCTCGTCCATGGCTCAGAAAGTGAACACAAAGAAAGTGTTGTATTTTTTATGTAGTCAGTTTGTTTAGTGTCACTCGTCGATGTATGAACAGTTACAAAGAACAGAACTGCCACACGGGTATACACTCATTCCTTATGCCAAACTGAATCAAAAATATGATAATTAAATTACACAGACTCTTTTTCTATAGTGACAACAATCCAGTAATGTTGTGCTTGATAAAAACATCTTTTCAGAAAGATGCATTTCTTATCTTTTGCAATAGTTTACCTGTGTAATAGGATAAGCATTGTATAAATTTTTCGAAATATTTAGTATCTATCGCATACAAATATGAGACCATAGATTGAAATATTATTACTGTAATTTTATAAAATTGCTGTCGTACAAATAGTAAATTAGGAATTTGATCTTTAAATTCTTTTGTATTTGTCATACCTTATCATAAGATGAGGAAGAAAAAGTGGCTGGCAAATAATGTTATAAAATGCTTTATTTAAAAACTGAATTGACTGGAAAAAATTCCTCAGTATAAGTGTCAAAAAGTAAAATAAAAGTGTCAAAACATTTTCCTCTTCATTTATGAAGGTATTATTTAATACTTGTATCTATATTGTTTTGTTTAAAATGTGCAACTAAAACGTTTTCTTATATACATTGATTATTGAATGTAATAATTATTGAAAGTAATGAGTCTTCCCATAAACAATGCAGTTTTTTTCAATTGAATGAACGAAACGTCGGAGGAGGGAAAAGCGTGCATCTTAGTATTGAGGGTAGAACGGTATTCTTCTTCTTTTATTTTGAGAAGTTTTAATTTTCAAACCAACAGAAGCATACTACTGCATATTTCAAAATCATTTATCAATTCCTTGCCATTGTCACTTTTTGGTTACAGATTGAATTTATTTTGAATTTTACTGACTAAATAAATGTAAGTGTCATAGCTAAAATTTAACATTTGTAAATTTATTTATTGCTTTCGTAACATAAATAATACCACATTTAAAATTATTTGCTAATGGTGAATATTCGTGTCGGAAAGTACATGCGTGTAATAGTTTTTAATTTAAAAACTTCTAGCAATGTTTATGGAAGACTGAATTCATTTATCATATTGTACAAACAACTTCTGTTTGCAACTGGTTGCATCAGAAACTTTCTGACTGTTACTGCTTATTTTAACAAGACATTTATATACCCTTTTTTTTTTAAATTTTCCAGCAACACTTAAAATGTTGAGATTACGTATTTTACTTAATTGTTTACTTTCTTGAAAAAAATGCTAAATATTTTAAAGCTATTTCAAATTTTTAAATCAAGAGAAATAGTAAATAATGTCCATTTATATGTCTGGCAGCATGCAATTTTAATTATTTTTAAGACCTTTTATTTTTTCTTCTTAGTCAGCTGCTATTAATTAGTTTAAATTATGTGGTTATTTTATTATTTTTGTTTATGTCAATATTTATTTTTCATTTTTATTTGTTGAGTGTGTATCAGTGTGCTTAATAAAATTATTTGCATACATAATAAAATTCCTGTCCTTTTCTTTCACCATTTTTATAAACATATACAATTTAAGGATTAAAAAATGTACAGCTATGTGCTTGATTTTCTTTGCTTACGCACTTTCGTTCTGATGTGTAAACAAAATTTTTTTTAAATAGAAAAAAAATTGTACCCTTTATATCTTTTTATCTTTTTTAAATGTTTTTGTATAGCAATAGTTGTGAATTTTCTGACGCATAATCTGAAAGATTAGGTGCGCCAAAAACATATTACATACTTCCGACCCAGCCTACCTACTAGTATAAGTTAATGCTATATACAAGTTTCAAACAACAGCAGACTTATAAAATTAAATGAAGTAATAAAATGATGGATGCTAAGATGAACAATTACTTTATAAAACTCATATAATGATTTCAGATACAAAACATGAGTAAAATAAAAAAAAAAAAAAAACATGAGACACATTAAAATGCTTAGTCTTAAAATGCAAAACACAAAAACACAGCTTCAAAACTAGATCAAATTAAATAATAAAGACCCGTGTCTTTCAGGTGCGAAACAGTTTGGTATTGACCTCTTTTCCGATTATACGATCAAGAGGATAGTCGCACTCATTGAGAAGCTTCAATAGAAGTTTTAAACTACAGGCTCTCTGTTAAAAAATGACGCACAGATAAAACACTATCATAGTTAGGATACAACGGTTCACTGTCCGCTTTTAGGTGGTGATGTGATTCAGAAAAGACAGGTAGTAAGGCGTGTTAACAACAATTTCTCCTTCCAGTTTTTAGTACTTTTCCAGTATTCCACTCAAAGCTTCATGCTTCTTACTTGTCATTAAGCTCAACATCCCAAAGTAGTTGACATTGCTATTGTTGCAATATCTGCAAGTTCATTCCTTTTACTTCGACATTTGGGCACATAGCAGTAAAGAATGTCATATCCATAGATTGCAGCTTATGTTCAGCACTTCGAAAACAAACGATCTGTTTCTCTTAGAAAAATTTTGCAATTAACGTAGAGCACTAAATAAGTCCGTATGCATAATCAATCTTTTATAGCATTGCTTTGAAATCAAAGAAGGCATACAATATACAGATGGCAAATTAGAAATGGAAACAGAACAATATTTGTGCAGTCTGAGCCTTCAGTGTGATATCCAATCACAAAGGCTGCTTCAACGTGGATACGAACTTTCGATCAAAACATAAATACGGGTACATAGTTACTATATACATTTTTGTGAACCAAAAGAACTGCTTTTACATAACCTCGTTAGGTATATTGTTCTCTATACCAATAGCTCAGAGAAAAAAGTTCTATAATATTGTTCTCTTCAAAATGTTTAAACTTTAAGAAATTGGATTCTTACATCATTCCAAGGAAACATTTTGCTTAAACATTAATCTCAGACATACCGTAGTCTTCGAACAAAGAGGGAGACCTTTTAGAGAAGTAGTATTGGTGGAGAGGGTTGCGTAGGAAAGAAAATCGCATGAATTATCTATTGCTAGAAATCGAGCAGGATGTTCAGACTGGGACAATATGTTAAAATAATAGCAAAGATACAATTACCAGCTGCTTAACTGAAGTGACGATTCAATGCATTCTATGTATAGGCTATGCGCAGGAAATGTGAAGAACAAATGCGCAAAGCTTGATGGTACATATGATCAAGTTTTAATAACACAGATGGACGTGAATATCCGTAATCTAATTTAGATCTAATCAGCGCTCTAGAGATACGGAACGTAGCATAATGTCAGATCCTCACTATGTGCTCGATAGAACTTTTATGAGGTTTGGGGTCTTCAAGTGTTTTTTTCTAATACACCGAATGTAGGGAATGAACGAGAGCTTTCTGTCTACGAACTTTCCAAGATATTTTACGTCTGGCTAAACTGGTATTGAAGAATCTTGAAAGTAGAATTTTGGATCTGGATGTAGGCCTGTGCGGAGGCATATTGGCTGCGTATTTGAAAGTGCACTTTGTTAGTCTTTTCTCTCGAAAACTGCAATCCATGTTTGTTTGATTTTTTTTCAGAACTTTTTTCAGGGCAATTTGCAACTGTTTGTAGATATACCTCATGTCGACCCCACTGCAACTTATCATAAAGTCATCCACATATAATGTCCCATTAACATAAGGAAGAAGCTCTTTCAGAACAGAATTTATCTTAAGTGGGACACTTAAGACGCAACCTTGAGGCGCACGTTCTTCATAAAATGCTTTGGATAACAGAAAACCAAACTTTACTTGAAACTCCCTATTAAATCTTATCATTCCCTTCGATACGGTTGATCTGTATTTTTGAAACCCACTCTGATACGGTGAAATGATAATTCTTTTCCAAATAGTAAACTAGACAAAAGTTTACTATACGTTCCAGGATTTTGCAAAGGCAACTGGTAAGTGATATAAGCCGATAATTGCAAGGATTCTTCGGGTCCTTATCAAGTTTGACTATGGGAATAGCGTAAGCTTTCCTCCATGCCATGAGGGAAAATATGCTCCTTCTACACTCTATTAAAATGGATGAGAAGGGGAACCAATAGCTCAGAGAACAAATGCATTAGCATGGTACAGCTCATACCATCTGAACTTGGACTTGTCTTAGGCAGGCCCGCGACGACAATAGGTGCAGGGATCGTGCAGTGCGCCGACTCAAAAAGACGTCGGGCAATCATTAAAACAAGCAGGCTGTCTCGGAGCCTATCTCAACAGGAAAATTCTTGTCTTATTTGAACGCCACTCCTGGGGTAGTCGACTCAAATGAAACCTGGGAAGCTACTGATTAGGATCTGTATCTAGGCAGTGTCGACCACGAGTGTTTAAAAGTCTTCACAGAACTGGAGTCATCGTTGGCGATATCTGGCTCAGGCTCGATAGGGACCATATGGTACTGTTTTGTCCGTTCCGTTGGTTCTGGTGGAGTTATATAGTCAGATATTCATGGTTAACCAAGGAAACACTTCCGTTAGTGGAATTTGCGAATTCAGCGAGCCTTTAAATTGCTTGAGGTTTCAAGTGGGCGCCAGGAGGTTTCCAGGTTTTCAGTGGATACCTTGAGGAGAGTCAAAACTGCATATTCATATCCTTCCTTGTTTTCCCTCTGAGGGCGCCTAAAGCTGAAGTCTATGTACCATGACGTAGCGTTAGCAGGCCGGATTGGTGGGCCCGGTCTGTCTGGCAGTGTTTAAGTGACTTCGTTCTGCTGTCCGTGGTTGGGACCCCTCTTGATGGCAGATCTCTCCAGGATGGGGAGGGGAATGTGAGCTGCTGACTGTTCCTGTTGACTCAGCTTAGTCTTAGCTCTTCGGCTTGACCGATAGGTTAGCAGCCTCTTAGATCGCTCTTAGGTCATCTAGGGGTTGGGACGGTGAACTCTGTTAAGGTCGCCTCAATCTCGCCAGGTCTGAGTGCCCCTTCCTCCTATCATACTGTCTCATTTTACCATGACATCAGACATCTCAAACATGACAGATAAACAGTTTTGAGTAATTGTGCTCAAATCGTTGCTTTTCCGAAATAAAAAGTTAACCTATGATTAACATAATATGTAACTGCACTTACCTT